GCCGGGTTCGGTGGCTCACGCCTTTAATCTCAGCACTTTGGGAGGCTGAGGTGGGCAGATTACTTGATGTCAGGAGTTGGAGACCAGCCTGGCCAACATGGTAAAACCCCGTCTCTACCAAAAATACAAAAATTAGCTGGGTGTGGTGGCACATGCCTGTAATCCCAGCTACTTGGAAAGCTGAGGTGTGAGAATCATTTGAACCCGGGAGGCGGAAGTTGCAATGAGCTGAGGTTGCGCCACTGCACTCCAGCCTGGGTGATGGAGTGAGCCTGTATCACACACATACACACACACACACACACACACATAAAAAGAAGATTGGAGTTCAAAGCAGGAGACAGGATTTGATCCCAATTTTTTTTTCTTTTCTTTTTTTTTGAGATGGAGTTTCGCTCTTGTTGCCCAGACTGGAGTGCAATGGCACGATCTCGGCTCACCGCAACCTCTGCCTCCCAGGTTCAAACAATTCTCCTGCCTCAGCCTCCCAAATACCTGGGATTACTGACATGCGTCACCACGCCTGGCTACTTTTGTATTTTTCGTAGAGATGGGGATTCACCATGTTGCTCAGGCTGGTCTCAGACTCCTGACCTCAGGTGATCTACTGCCTCAGCCTCCTGAAGTGCTGGGATTACAGGCATGAGCCACCATGCCTGGCCTGATTCCAATTTTATAGGAAAAAAAGCCAGACACATATACATGTGCACACACACATCCCTTACAAACCTAACCCCAACAATGACATATTTATATAGAAAAAGACTAAAGGCTGGGCATAGTGGCTCATTCCTGTAATCCTTGCACTTTGGGAGGTCAAGACAGAAGGATCACTTGAGTCTAGGAGTTAGAGACCAGCGTGGGCAACATGGTGAAACCCCACCCCTATAAAAAACCAAAAATTGGCTGTGTGGTGGCACACTCCTATAGTTCCAGCTACTTGGGAGATTGAGGTGTGCCCAAGAGTCGAGGCCACAGTGAGTTACGATCATACGACTGCACTCCAGCCAGGGCAACAGAGGGAGACTCTGTCTCAAAAAAAAAAAAAGATGAATAAAGACTAGAAAGCTGAATAGCAAAACACCAATAGTAATTGTTTCCAAGTGATGAGATTACAAATGACTTTTATCTCTATCTCCATACATTGCTTTGCGTTTTTGTTTTGAGACAGGGTCTTACTCTGTTGCCCAGGCTGGAGTACAATGGCATGACCTCGGCTCACTGTAGCCTCAATTTCTCTGGCTCAGGTCATCCTCCCACCTCAGCCTCCCAAGTAGGTGGTACGACAGGTGCATGCCACCACACCTGGTTAATATTTACTTATTTTTATTTTAATTTTTTGAGACGGAGTCTCGCTCTGTTGCCAGGCTGGAGTGCAGTGGCATAACCTCAGCTCATTGCAACCTCCGCCTCTCAGGTTCAAGCGATTCTTCTGCCTCAGCCTCCTGAATAGCTTGGACTGCAGGCACACACCACCACACAAAGCTAAATTTTGTATTTTTAGTAGAGATGGGGTTTCACCATATTGGGCAGGCTGATCTCGAACTCCTGACCTTGTGATCCACCCACCTTGGCCTCCCAAAGTGCTGGGATTACAGGTGTGAGCCAACAAACCTGGCCACCCCCATTTTTTTTTTTTTTTGAGACGGAATCTCGCTCTGTTGCCCAGGCTGGAGTGCAGTGGCACAATCTCGGCTCACTGCAATCTCCACCTCCCAGGAGTGATTATCCTGCCTCAGCCTCCCAATTAGCTGGGACTATAGATGCCCGCCACCATGCCCGGCTAAATTTTTTAGTGGAGACGAGGTTTCACCATGTTAGCCAGGATGGTCTCAATCTCCTGACCTCGTGATCCGCCCGCCTCGGCCTCCCAAAATGCTGGGATTACAGGCATGAGCCACCGCGTGAGGCCAACTTTTTTTTTTTTTTTTTTTTTTGAGATAGCATCTTGTTCTGTCACCCAGGCTGGTGTGCAATGGCGCAATCTCGGCTCACTGCAACCTCCACCTCCCAGGTTCAAGTGATCCTCCTGCTTCAGTCTCCTCAGTAGCTGGGATCACAGGTGTGCACCACCATGGCCAGCTAATTTTTGCATTTTTAGTAGAGACAGGGTTTCATCACATTGGCCAGGCTAGTCTCGAACTCCAGACCTCAAGTGGTCTGCTCACCTTGGCCTCCCAAAATGCTGGTATTACAGGCGTGAACCACCATGACCGGCCTTAATATTTTTTTTTTTTTTTTTTTTTTTTGAGATGGAGTCTTGCTCTGTCACCCAGGCTGGAATGCAGTGGTGGCGCAATCTCAGCTCACTGCAAGCTCCGCCTCCCGGGTTCACACCATTCTCCTGCCTCAGCCTCCCGAGTAGCTGGGACTACAGGCGCCCGCCACCTCGCCCGGCTAGTTTTTTGTATTTTTTAGTAGAGACGGGGTTTCACCGTGTTAGCCAGGATGGTCTCGATCTCCTGACCTCGTGATCCGCCCGCCTCGGCCTCCCAAAGTGCTGGGATTACAGGCTTGAGCCACCGTGCCCGGCCTTAATTTTTATATTTTCTTTAGAGACTGGGTCTTGTTGTGTTGCCCAGGCTGGTCTCAAACTTCTGAGCTCAGGTGATCCACCTGCCTCAGTCTCCCAAAGTACTGGGATTTTAGGCTGTCTCAATACTTTTCTGTAGTTTCTAGTTTCTACAGTAAATTTCTTATTGAATAACATCAAAAAAAAATTTTTTTTTCCTTTTTAAACTTTTTATTTATTTTAGAGACAGGGTCTCCCTGTGATACCCAGGCTGGTCTTGAACTCCTGGGTTCAAGTGATTCTCCTGCCTTGGCCTCCTGAGTAGTTGGGACTACATGCGCATACCACCAAGCCTGGTTAATATCACCGGGCATGGTGGTTCATGCCCGTAATCCCAGCACTTTGGGAAGCTGAGGCAGGCGGATCATCTGAGGTCAGGAGTTCGATACCAGCCTGGCCAAAATGGTGAAACCCATCTCTACTGAAAATACAAAAATTAGCCTGGCATGGTGGTGCACACCTGCAGTCCCAGCTCCTTGGGAGGCTGAAGCAGGAGAATCGCTTGAACCCGGGAGGCGGAGGTTGCGGTGAGCCGAGATCGTGCCATTGCACTCCAGCCTGGGCAACAAGTGTGAAACTCCATCTCAACAAAAAGAAAAATAAAGAACACAGATTGTATGAGGCAAGGCCACACGTGGATAAGGAAACACCAGATCTGCCCAGGAAGACAGTGGGATGGCTTTGATATCTCTAGGCTCACAGTAGATCTCAGTTCATGTCCTGCCTCTGCTATTCATTCATTTACCCACTCATTCATTCAACCATTCAGCAGACAGTTTCTAAGCACCCTCTCCGTTTCAGGCACTGGGTGCAGCCATGGGCGGAAATCCTGCCTGCCTGGAGCCGGCTTTCTAGTAGCGGAGACAGATAATAGACAGATAATTACACACCTAACTCATCATGATTCCATTTTTATAGTGCAGTATGACGCACAGAACAGACAGACCCGCTTCACTCTTGGCCACGTGTAATGTGGCAGGCTTTTGTCTGAATTCCTGGCTTACCTTAGTGATGTGGCAGGTGGGGCTGCCTGGAGATTCAGGGACAGCTCCTCTCAGGCAGACCCTCAGGCAACCTTAAAAGGATGCAGGAAGCCCAGCATGGTGGCTCACGCTGATAAACCCAGCACTTTGGGAGGCCTAGGCGGGAGGATTGCTTTAGGTCAGCAGTTCAAGACCAGCCTGCACAACATAGTGAGATCCCCACCTCTACAAAATAAAAATTTTTTTAATTAGCTGGGTGTGGTGGGGTGCATCTATAGGCACAGCTACCCAGGGGGCCAAGGCGGGAGGATTGCTTGAGCCCAGGAGGTTGAGGCTGCAATGAGCCATGTTCACACCACTACACTCTGGCCTGGGCAATAGAAAGAGACCGTTTCTCTTAAAAAAAAAAAAAAAAAGGCAGTGAAAAATGTGCCTTGATGGGTCTCCTGACGATGCCTTTCTGTGCAGCAGAAATTGGGTGGAAGGTGAGCTACAGCCACCTGTGGGCACTGCCATGGCCGCTGGGCAGCAGAACTCTTCACGTACCCTCCCACCTACACTCTTGCAGCCACTGCCTTGTGACAGAGAGATGCTTAGGATTGTCCAGACCATGGCTGCAGCCGTAGGGTTTCGTTTGGTTGTTTTTGAGACAGGGTCTTGCTCCGTCACCCAGGCTGGTGTGCAGTGATGTGATCATGGCTCACTGCAGCCTTGACCTCCTGGGCTGAAACCCTTCTCCTGCCTCAGCCTTCCGAGTAGCTGAGACTGCAGGTGAACACCACCACGCCCATCTATTTTTTATTTATTTTAAATAGTGTCTCACTCTGTCGCCCAGGCTGGAGCACAGTGGTGTGATCTCAGCTCACTATAACCTCCGCCTCCCAGATTCGAGCAATTCTCCTGCCTCAGCCTCCCGAGTAGCTGGGATTACAGACGCGTGCTACCACGTCCAGCTAATTTTTTGTATTTTTCATAGAGACAGGGTTTCATCATGTTGGTCAGGCTGGTCTTGAACTCCTGACCTCAAATGATCCACCTGCCTCGGCCTCCCAAAGTGCTGGGATTACAGGCGTGAGCCACCTCACCTGGCCGCCTGTCTACTTTTGAAAAAAATTTATTGTAGAGACAGGGCCTTGCTCTGTTGCCCAGGTTGGTCTTGAACTCCTGGCCTCAAGTGATCCTCCCACCGTAGCTTCCCTTAGTGCTAGGATTACAGGCATAAGCCCCTGCGCCTGGCCTGCCACAGATTTTTGTCATCGATAGGATCATTGTTCCCATTTTACAGATGAGCAAACTGAGGCTTGGAGCAGCAAAGGCACACGGCCAAGGTCCTACAGCAGGATAAAGGGCAGAACTAGGCTTAGAAGCCAGGTTTCTGTGATGCCACAGCTGAGACTCTGCCCCTCGGGGGTCTTACACGTGTTCCCACATTAACATTCATCCAGGTTTCGAGTTCTTTGAAGCCAGCGCCAAGGAGAACATCAATGTGAAGCAGGTCTTCGAGCGCCTGGTGGATGTCATCTGCGAGAAGATGAACGAGTCCCTGGAACCCAGCTCCAGCTCAGGCAGCAATGGGAAAGGCCCGGCCGTGGGGGATGCTCCAGCCCCCCAGCCCAGCAGCTGCAGCTGCTAGAGATGTCCCCAAACCCCCTACCCACCTCTCTCCGGCCTCGGCAGGGACTGTGATTGAGGCATGAGCCACAATGGTTATCTCCAAGCTCAGGGCAATCCCTTCCCTTCTGTCAACTGCCCCCCGACTCCTGCATGGCTCATTCTTTCACAATGTCGCCGTGGCTGCCAGGTTGCTCAGGCAGCCCCGGTGAGAGGCTACAGACCATGGGGACTCAGCTCTGCATGGCAGGCAGGGGCCCGGGGACACTGACATGCATGAGCTTGCTGCTTTCCAGGGTGTGTTAAGGAGGGTGGCCGCGGGCGACACGTCCCACTCTGTCTGATGGAGGGGCATCCGTGGTGCCTTCTAGCTTAGAACCATTTTCCAGGTCTCTTCTGGGTTGGGCAGGACTGATATTTCCAAGCTGGTGGAAGATGGTTCATCTTCTTCCTCGCACAGTGTGCGTTCTTGGAGTTCGTCCAGGGAAGGCGGCGCCTCTTTCTCAGGTCCTGCAGGCTGGTCTCTGAGCCTGCCCCCACGAACTTCCTGGATTCCAAGGTGGGATGGTGATTTTGACCCCTGCAGACCCTCTACTTACAAAAAGCAGCATTAAAGCGGCCTTTCCCCATTGTAGAAGGGACAAGGAGTCAAATCCCCTCAACACCCCGGCTTCAGGGACCCCAGAAGTGCCTTCCAAGCTTCCCCCAAGAGCCACATCACCCACAACCCTGCCACTGTTTTTGCTGTGTTCACCGCATCTCTGATCCTGAATTGAATTCTGGAACTATGGACCACATTAGACAGGGCAGAGATTCGCCCAACCCCTAGCACTCCGGCTCTGGGCTTTTGGCCAGAAGTTAATTAACCTCAGAGTCAGGAGCCTGGGCCCTCCCTCCTAGGCCCTGTTTAGCTGGTTGTGTTTTAAGCAAGTTCTTGCCCAATCATACATCCTGCTAGAAAAGGAAATGAAGCAACGTTCCCAGCCACCACAGGCAGTTGTCGGCAACTTTCTGATGTACGCACCTGGGCTCCTCCAACTTGAGGGGGGCCCTTCCACACCCAATGCCCATTTCCCAATCCTTGTCATCGGCAGGGCCCAGGGATGTGACAATACTTTTTTTTTTTTGAGACAGAGTCTCGCTCTGTTGCCCAGGCTGGAGTGCAGTGGCCAGATCTCAGCTCACTGCAAGCTCCGCCTCCCGGGTTTACGCCATTCTCCTGCCTCAGCCTCCCAAGTAGCTGGGACTACAGGCACCCGCCACCACGCCCAGCTAATTTTTTGTATTTTTAGTAGAGACGGGGTTTCACCATGTTAGCCAGGATGGTCTCAATCTCCTGACCTCGTGATCCGCCCGTCTCGGCCTCCCAAAGTGCTGGGATTACAGGCTTGAGCCACCGCCCGGCCGACAATTTTTGCTAATGGAGGAGTCGCTTCTTTTTTTTCTTTTTGAGATGGTCTCGCTCTGTCGCCCAGGCTGGAGTGCAGTGGTGCAATCACAGCTCACCACAGCCTCAAACTAGGGGTCACTTTAAGGGATGCTGGGGGTTGGGCAGAAGGGGTGAGGTGGTAGGATTGAGTAACTTGCTGTCACCGCTTGTACTTTGTAGATAGCCTGAGAGTGGCAGGCCCTTATGTGAATGGGGGGGATGGGCTGTGATCAGTGCCGGGGAGTCCCTGAAGCTGGGGTCCCCACCTCTGGGGGCTTCTGCTCAGAGGTTATGTGTGCAGTTTGAAGACTTACATCTTGACCTCCAGTTTAGAGGCACTTTCTGCCCATCAGATTCCAAACTCTAGGGGCGCAGCACGTTTTCTTAGCTCCTAAACACCAACCTTAACAGGACCAGCACTGTTAGGATGGCTAAGCGGATGTTTTATGTTCTCACCCCCCTGACTGTTTCAGAGGCTGTGTCTGCTCTCCCAGCCCCTGCAGCCAAAATGACTTCCTGCAGCTTTCATGAGCTCAGCCTCTTCCCTGGGGTATGTGTGAGGGGAAAAGCCTGGTTCAAGTTTAGATTTATTTCTAGGGAGCCCCAGTTACTTCATACCAGAGGCTACCCTTAGAACTTTGGAGTGAGGGTATCGTTTGTGTTGTTGTTGAGACAGAGTCTCGCTCTATTGCCCAGGCTGGAGTGCCGTGGCACAATCTCAGCTCACTGCAACCTCCGTCTCCAGGGTTCAAGTGATTCTCCTGCCTCAGCCTCCCGAGTAGCTGGAATTACAGGCACATGCCACCATACCCGGCTAATTTTTGTATTTTTAGTAGAGAAGGGGTTTCACCATGTTGGTGAGGCTGGTCTCAAACTGATTTCAAGTGATCCACTTCCTTCAGCCTCCCAAAGCACTGGGATTACAGGCATGAACCATCACGCCCAGCTGAGAGTATCTTTATACCAGCAAATGAGATGACTGAGGTGAAATGGACAAATCCTATAAACACACAAAGTGAGGGTATCTGAGTATGTGGGCGGGAGTCAAAAATTTGTAGTTGCTTTAACACTAAAGTCAAACTAAAGCAGCTTCAAAAAGACTTCTTAAGATGCAGTATGGCCTGCTGAGGTTTCTGTTTGTTTGTTTAAGACGGAGAGTCGCTCTGTCGCCCAAGCCGGAGGGTAGTGGCATGATCTCGGCTCACTGCAACTTCCACCTCCTGGGTTCAAGCGATTCTCCTGTCTCAGCCTCCTGAGTAGCTGGGACTACAGGCACCTGCCACCACACCCGGCTACGTTTTGCATTTTTAGTAGAGATAGGGTTTCACCTTGTTGGCCAGGCTGGTTTTGTTGGCCAATTGTCTCTAAACTGCTGTCAAAAAAAGGAATGGATGAGATTGTCTTGAATAGGGCGGAGCTAACTTGTAATCGCCTGCCTGACAAGAAACAGCTTTGACTGCATCTTACTCCTGACCTGGCCTAAGCTTTCTGTTTACATAAGATTTTTCAAGAGTTCAACTTCAGGTAGCAGCGGAGAGAGCTGCCTCTGGATTCTCTCAAAGACTGGGAATAATATGGGAACATTTGTTTCTTCTCAAAATAAGGCAAATGTTACATTGAATGATTTTGGGGGTGAGGTTTAATTCGAATGGTCTCTGGGGACTGGAAACTGATGTTTTTGCAGATTACCTCAGGGAAGGGAGGTTTGTTGAGTTTACAGACACATTAAACCAAAGGCCGTGGGAAAACCCCTCTCCAGCTCCAGGGGATTGAAGTCAGGATCACCCACTAACCAGTGCCTTCCTTCTTAACATTCACTTTTAGCAGCTTGTGTTTACATGGGCAGTTTTGATGGGAAATTGCCATGACCACAGCGGTTTGGAGTTCTGTTTTTTTTTTTTTTTTTTTTCTCTCCTTCTTTTTGTGGGGACTGGGGGACTCCTCCCAAGATCACATTTTAGCATCTTTCTTTCCTACTCCATTTAGAAAAACAAAGGGTGCAATGTGGTCTCAGTGTTAACATGGTAATTCCGCTACTGGCTCCTCCCTGACGATTCTGAAATACACTACTGAACGAGCTCTGGCTGGTCCTTTCTATCCTGGATGTGGTTCTTCTGTGTAGCAATTCCTTGATGTCCAGTTTGGAAAGATGTACTCTTTTTCTCCACAAGAAAAAATTAAATCCGTCATGCCCAAAATGTAGTTGTGCTTTTATTTCCATTAGTGAAGTGCATTTCTGGGAAAGGGGGGTTGATTTGCAACTAAGCAGATTTAAGTCAAGCGCCCTTCGAGACACAGCAGAAACCTCACCGGGCCTGGGGCTGCCTCTCGCTGGGTCCCATGGCCACCACCTTGACCTTGGAAAGCTCTGTTATATGGGAGGTAGGGAGGACACTGTTTCCCTCAGCTACTTCTGGTAAAGAGGTCAGTTCTCCCCACAGCAGCAAGAGGGCACCTGTGAACACCTGAGTCAGAGCACAGCCCTCCTCTGCTTAGAACCTTCAATGGCTCCCACCTTACTTGGAGTAAACGCCAAAGTCCTTCCTGTGGCTCCCCAGGGCCCTGCATGATCTGACTCATCACTTCCCCACCCTCCTCCATCTCTCCACTTGCCTCCCCACGCTTGCTCCCCTCCAGCCACATTGGCGTATTTGCTGCTATCTGAACATACCAGACCCCCGCCCCAAGGCCTTTGCACAGGATGCTCTCCCTGCCTCTGCCTGGATGGCCCTTACCCTAGGTAGTCACAGTTGATACGGTTTGGCTTTGTGTCCCCACCCAAATCTCACCTTGAATTGTAATCCCCATAATCCCCACGTTTCAAGGGAGAGACCAGGTGGAGGTCATTGAGTCATGGGGTTGGTTCCCCCATGCTGTTCTCCCGATAGCAAGTGAGTTCTCGCGATATCTGATGGTTTTATAAGGGGTTCTTCCGCCTTCTCTCGGCTCTTCTCCTTCCTGCAACCTTGTGAAGAAGGTGTCTGGCTTCCCCTTTGCCTTCCGTTATAATTGTAAGTTTCCTGAGGCCTCCCCAGCCATGCTGAACTGTGAGTTAATTAAACCTCTTTCCTTTTTTTTTTTTTTTGAGACTGAGTCTTGCTCTGCCACCCAGGCTGGAATGCAGTGGTGCCATCTTGGCTCACTGCAACCTCCACCTCCAGGGTTCAAGCAATTCTCCTGCCTCAGCCTCCCAAGTAGCTGGGATTACAAGCACGCTCCACTATGCCCGGCTAATTTTTGTGTTTTTAGTAGAGACAAGGTTTCACCATGTTGGCCAGGCTGGTCTTGAACTCCTGACCTCGTGATCTGCCCACCTCAGCCTCCCAAAATACTGGGATTACCGGCGTGAGCCGCCATACCCGGCTAAACCTCTTTCCTTTGTAAATTACCCAGTCTCAGGCAGTTTTTTCTAGCAGTAGGAAAATAGATTAATACAATAAAGCTCTCCTAACCTAACTTCCTCTATTTTTTTTTTTTGAGACGGAGTCTCGCTCTGTCACCCAGGCTGGAGTGCAGTGGCTGGATCTCAGCTCACTGCAAGCTCTGCCTCCCGGGTTTACGCGATTTTCCTGCCTCAGCCTCCCGAGTAGCTGGGACTACAGGCGCCCGCCACCTCGCCCGGCTAGTTTTTTTGTATTTTTTAGTACAGACAAGGTTTCACCGGCTTAGCCAGGATGGTCTTGATCTCCTGACCTCGTGATCCACCTGCCTCAGCCTCCCAAAGTGCTGGGATTACAGGCTTGAGCCACCATGCCCAGCCTGAGTTGTCTCCTTTATAATAAACCAGGAGTAGTAAGTAAAACACTTTCCTGAG